ATATAAATTTGACACATTCCCAATTTTAGGACCCCATGACAGTCTAAGAAAGTCATTCCAGCATTTTGTCATAAATCAAGCAAATGAGATCCTAATTTGAATAGGTTATGTTTAATGATATTTACCTTGAAGTTCACTTCACTTCCAAAGTATTAAATTCCAAGAAGTTATTTGAATGAAATTATTATAATAGCATTTTCTCAGAACAACAGAGATACACAATGCACCTTCAACTATCCGTTAAAATCCTACATATTCTTCCGGCTTTTGACTAAGTAATGCGAGATCCCACCTGACTTGCTGTACCTCCATCCTGATGGTCCTGGTTAGCTGAAAGCATTGCTTTTGGACCTTCTTGATCGCCACTGTCCTGCCATCACTGCATAGATCATCACAATCATGGTGTTAGAATCATTGACAAGTAAAACTAGTTAACACAAAGTTCTTGGAAAAAAGGTTTGATCCCATGGGACTGACTGATGATGAAGAATGAAAACTTAGTTTGAAATGTTATGCTTTAACCGTATTCTTAATGTTGACAGCTTTGTTCTTTTACTACTAGTTTGTAAGTTAACTTTCAACATATTTCATGTTGCAATTTCTGTGTACATGCTAATTGATTGTATTAAAATGAACTGAGCTGAAATTCACAAGATACACTTTTAATCAGCTTTTCTTAAGTGTTTGTAAAATGATTTTACTTACAAGATCCCTGTCTGTGCAAAGATCTGCTTGCGCTGTGTGCGGCTGTTGATGTTGTTCTGTGTGGACACCAGGCTGGTGTTGATGGTGCTGCTGTTTCCTGTGTTCACACTCAGAATGCTGCCCATGAAGCCACGAATCCCGTGATCTGTTAACAACGTTTACGGAGGTTACAACGAACAGATAATTCCCATGGCCATAGCACCCGACTTGCGACAGGAGGTGGCTTAAGACTGCCTAAACCGAAGACAACCGCAATGGAAAGAACATTCGTTTACAGATGCACGAAATCTCACAACAACCTCACACCACACGCCAGGTCTACCACACCAACACTATTCAAGAACATCATAAACGACATGATAACTCGTAAGATAGATACAAACAAACCCTTAAAGCACTGGTGGTAAGGTACTGACACAAGCAAGGAGCTGTATATATTATCATTGTATCTGACCTCTGACCTCCCAATGTCAATGTCGTGTTGCTTTGTCGTGTTGCTTTGTAGTTGTAACTGTTTATTGTTCTGTAGTTTTACGCTAGTTGCAGTCTAATGGATGCAAGTGTTATGTTATGTGCCTTAATTTGTATTATATTTGTGTGCCTTGTTTTTATGAATCCAGGAAGAATAGATTAGATTTGATATCTAATCTAATGGATATCTAATAAAACATCAACATCAATACAATTTTAGACAATGGTGTGTCAGAATTTGTCATAGAAGATCTGATTGAGGCCCATTTAGACTCAATATGTGGGCCCTTGGAATCGAGAAAGATGCACAGGAACAGTGGCCAGCGGACGGGAGGATAGAGGAGTGACTGTAATGGTTTGTTATATAATTTAGATATATTTGTTATACAGGAATGTGTTACTCTTTACCGTGTAAGTTTTGATAGGCTATATGATAATAGCACTAATGGCCCGCCCTTTCTCTGTGAATATGGTGTGATAAAGCCTTGTCAGTTGCTATGACCACCTCATAAAGCCACCTCGTTCGCATGCGCTCACTCAATGGCTTTATTCGGTGGTTATAGCAAGGACATTATACAAGACTCTGGTTATAGCAACTGCCAAGGCTTTATCACACCATATTCACCTCGTGGCGGGTCATTAACCCTTAAATATATTGTACTTTGTTTCAGACAACACCAGCTCAGAATGACGTGAACCAAACAAACCAGTTTCAGCCAAATTCACTCAGGATGAGGACATTGAGATGATCTACGAAATGTTAATAATATTTTGTAGGGACAATTTTTGTGCATAACTTTGAACATTTCAGATAAAGTATCCAGAGTGAAGAAACAAACGTTGTACTACATGTATCTTTGCTGTATCAGTCAATGTCATTGTGGATTTTAGTTTCTTTGTAACTAAACAAAATTGTCCAACAAAGAACCCAATGTCCATTGATCTATTTACCAACATGATGAAACTATGCAAGAATGTACAATGTATATAGTATATGTACTTGTATCAAGATTATTTTTGTGGGTGTATATAGTACATGTACAATGTATGTACTTGGATCAAGATTATTTTTGTGGGTGTATATAGTACATGTACAATGTATGTACTTGGATCAAGATTATTTTTGTAATCTTTGCTGTATCTGCATATATAACCTGGGATGATTTGGAATTAAGAAAGAGCCTATTATTCATTGATATTCTAATCTGATGAAACTACATGCAAAAGTGTATTAAGTATCTGTGTTCTGAATATTCTGCCCTTTAGGCTTATATTGCTGTATCTGTATTTCTGTATATATCAAGATAATAGTCACGTAGTAGTACATTTTTGTATGTGGAGTCTTTTGTGTCAATGAAGAGTTATTGAGTTCCTGTATTTCATGAAGCTCAGACAAAATAATAAAATCTATTGTTGTACACCTTGTAACTACTGTTGAAGTTAGTTTATATATAGTAGTTGCTGTAGTTTTTTTTTCTACAAAAAGAAAGCTCAACTGGAGTCAGTCAGTGGAAAAGTTATGTACAATATGCGTTAAGCAATTTACAAAGTAGTGGGAAATCTTATATATAATTTGTACCAAAATTTGAATATATATAATATATAAATGTCCGTCATGAGTATCTGGACATCATGGTTATGTAGTGTTAAGGACTGTCAAAAAAGTCCCATTGTCATTAGGAAAACATTGCCATCATCTATCCCCCCAACATCTGCTTGGAGCCCTTGTCCGATGTCCTATGGCAACTTGTGTTTAACTATGATACACACAAATCCTAGGGCTGCAGTTTGATAACTTTTCTTCATTCGCTTCATTACCAGTAACTTCACTCCTCCGATTTCACCAACACGCCAAGGGTTAAACACACTCATGTTCACATACACAACAAGGTCATTCCCATGGTAACGTTAGCCTCTACCAGGCTTCAGGAGACGGCTGCATGGGAAGAGTAGAAATCGGTCACCCGGAGTAGAAATTGTCACACTCAGGTGCGGCAAAACCAAGGAGGTTAAATACAAGATTTTAACTCCATGGCATTGGCAAACGTACTCTCTAGCGGACCAACTCCCTCGGCATGTTATCTCAGCTATTTGACCAATTTTTACTCTGTCCAGCCGCCTCCCGAAGCCTGGTACAGGCTAGAGGTAACGTGTTAATCTTCAAGCAGATCTTTCGGTTGGGTGGCAAAAGACCGTATCCATTGGCCATCCTGTATCCATTGACCGTCCTGTATCCATTTCCCAACCAAAGGTGGCTAATGGACACTCCTCTGGCCAATGGATACTGTATTACCACCGAAGTATCTGCTGGGAGATTAGTAACATGTCAGGTAGAACACAAGCGACCCCAGTCAGCCGTTTTAAGTCTTGCATCATCAGCGGCCGCCATGTTGGTGACATGTTACACCGTGCGGCCGCAGGTGAGACAAAAGACGGGGACACCTGACGCGCCGGGTACCTGGCGGACGTGCGTCGGTAAGAACGACGGGACACAAAGGACCCGGGCCAGGTTACCGAGCAGCTGTCTACATGTCTCAAGACGTATTGTGAAAGGAAAAGTATCTTGAGACTAGTCTTACGTCACGGAGAGCTGCTTTCCAACTGGTTGTGACTAGCTACAGAAGGAGGCGAGACGCTATGCGCGGTTTGTACGTGTTCTGTGTAGCTGTTCTTGTGGAGAGGGAGCATGAACATTGCAGCACCGCGGCTTGACGTCCCGGGCTGGGATCGGCAGCCCTCTTCTGTAGTGGGAGTCGGGTCGGACCTGAAATATCGTAGTTTGAGTTCAAAAGCAGGCAACGCTATCGACGCGACTGTTGGTTCGTTTGTATGGGCTGGCATCTCAACGTTACCGTTACTTCAGGTGAATATCTATAATTCTTTTTGCTGGTTTGTGTGTTTCGCATAACCGTTAAATGCCTTTAAAGGCGTAACACACGAGTTCTGTATGGTAAAGACAAGACCGGACTGTAATATTGGCAAGGTTTAAGCCACTTACACCTACATGGCGCCCTACTCTTATACTGTATTACAGATAAGTGGTGGTGGGATCTTGTGTTATGTTACACGATCCCGGTAAGAATCAAAATCGTACTACGGCTACGACGAATGTGTCCACCTGGGTTTAAGTAAATAACCCTTTTTTTTAAGTGTCCGTTCTCAGAATAAGGCGAAGCAAATCGTCTTTCTCATCGCTCTATTAGTAGGAAATGAATGATGCAATACGGAGCCGCTGCCTTTTTTAAATAGCGGATAGCGTTCACCTTACCCCCCCCCCTCAGGCCCAGTCACTGTAGTCGGAATTGTCTAGCCTCTTCCAGGCTTAACAGGGCAACAGAAATTGCCCTAATAGATATCATGCTAGGGGAGTTGGTCCGCTAAAGAATACGAGTTTGCCGGTCGCTGGTAGAGACTAATAATAGTTCCCGGCCTTTACCCTGCCTTTATATTACCGTACCAGCGAGGGCCTTAGTATTTTACCAGACTCAGTGTAATGGTACATAAAGTTACAGTCATTCTCGACGACATGAGACGAACGAGATACAAGTACTATACTATGTAGTTTTGCGCTATGTTGCTACGAATTCGAGTGCTTGTGATGTGTTTGTGACTTTAATTACTTATTATGATTACTAGTACCTTTGCAGAAAAAAATTGTCTTTGCTCCGTTTCGTCTTCTCCAAAAACATAAGGTCAATGACCTGAACCTGGTGGCTGTCACTATGGTAACTGGTGCTGTAGCAGACAATCTGTTGTGTTATTCTTTATGATTATACAGCAAATGGCATAGTGGGGCAGGCCACCATACGTATGTGTTTGATTGATGATAAATTAAAAAGAGCAATATATAGTTAGTTAGGATAGATCATGTGAAGATAAACATTATTATGTATTGGCTTGCAAATCTTACCTTTATTGTTATTTCTGTTGTAACGTCGAGGCACCCCCGAGAATCCCAATTTCTCCGTGGAAGAACCTCCTTCCTTCCTTCTGACAGTTTTCCTTGCATCTTGGTCGTCGTGACCTTGAACTTCTACAAACAACATGGCGGGCGTACATGCTGTGCATGCGCACTGGGAGGGACTCGCCCAGGCCAAGGGCTGCCCCGGTGCATGCTGGGATAGGACCACGGAAGGCTGGCAGGTGATTTGGCGCCACAAGACGATACAGGTGTTTGTTTGTTTGTTTGTTTTAGACATCCAATAGTGTTAACATTAAGTGTTTTTGAGCCTTTGGTTAGTCATATAAATACTCGACACTCAGTGATCACTGCCGGTATTCTTTCTATATCTCGTGATGTTCTTCTATACTACTAGTATTCCATTCTATTCTATTCTATTCAATTCTATTCTATTCCATTCTATATTATTCAATTCTATTCTATACCATCAATGAATCGTATTTTTCAGTGTCTTGGTGAATGAATAAGCGAATGAGTTAGCGAATTTGTGACTGAATGAGTGCCTGAATGATCCTGAATGAACCTACCTCTATTACAGAAAATAATGTTGAAAATCGTATTTTTTGCCTTATTTTCCCCTCCCTCCCCGTTTCCCCAGGTGTGTGTGTTGGTGGTTTTCCCGCTGTGCCTGTACGTGGCTAACCTGGGAACAGACGTGGCGCTGGCCCTGCAGTACTGGAGCGGCCGCCAGGCGGAGTGGTTCGCCTGGACCCTCGGCCTGACCCTCGGGCCGCTGCTCATCGTCCACACCTGGTCCTGCGGGTTCATCTGCCTCACCGCGAGGTCACACGATCCGGACAGAAGCAGCTTCGCCAAAACCGTGCAGGAGTCGCCCTGCTTGTACCGGTGTCTGTCGTCCGTTCCCGTCGTGAGCATTTTCGTGCACTACGCGGTGTTTTCCCGCCTTCTGTGGAGCGGCGGTGACGTCACCGGCCTGGAGGTGGAGCGGAACCTTCCCATCATCCACCTGCTGGACGCCGTGACGGCCGCCATTTCTCAGCTCTGCCTCCAGATCAAGATCTGGGTCTACACAGACGAGCGGGTCAGCGTCCTGAAGGTCGTCTCCATGGTGATATCTCTCATGGCAACGGTCAAGGCCGTGGTGACGTACCTGTACTACAAGAACTACCTGCACCGGCGGCCGCTGACGCGCGGGCTTGTGGGAAGGCTGGTGTTCATGACCTTCTGGAAGGTTCTGGAGGTCAGCGTGCGCGTCACGACCATGGGTCTGTTCGCGTCCGCCTTCACGCCGTGGATCGCGCTGCGTATCGGGTTACACTGGGCCGCCATGACGGTCGCCTACTTCGCCATAGACAGAAAACTAAAAGGGTTTGTCGGCCTCTGTGCGTGGGGTCTGGCCATGGTGGTGGACACATTCAGCATGACGTTCTCTCCCGACCACAGGCGGACGTTTTGGCTGAACTCTGCCCTCACGTTGCTAGGCAACGTCACCATGGTGACGGTGTGGTACACGCAGAAGACGGGAGATGACTGGTACGACGTTCCCGCGCTGGTGGGGATCGTGGTGGGGTCCGTGGTGTCGGCCGTGTTCGGGTTTGTCGGGATGGTGCTGAGCGGGAGGATAGAGTCCCCCGTCACGTTCTGCTGTGCCAAAGGCGAGTCCGGAACGGAAACGGCTGCACGGCGGCAGAACTCGCCTGCTCCGGATTCCGGAAACTCTGTAGCGCTGAACACTGTGTAGAACCGCGTCGCGATGGAGGTGATGTTTCTCCTAGTGATTGTACCAAAGTTGCAACGTACATTCCTTAGGAAAAAGACTCAAGATTTTTGTGAAAGATGTGCCTTGAATTAACATTGTCTACTGTATAAAACATGTATAATTATTAGCCTGGTTACCAAACCTATTATAGCTCCCGAGTCCTACATCCTCATCGCTATTTGCGGAGAGGATGTAGGACTCGGGAGCTATAATAGGTTTGGTAACCAGGCTACATAATTATAACATGCATAATGGTGCTCTCGATTCCTCTATGTAGAACTCTTAAATGGTGACTTAGATATCCCTCGTTGTGCTACAAATTAAGTTTGCAACTCGAAGCTTTGAGTGAAAGACTTCATCTCCATTTCGTAGCAAAGAGAAAGGCTTGAGTTTAAATATAGCTAACATTTGTCAGCTGAATACAACATTGGCGGTAATTGTGACGTATGTGCATTCTAAGATAGCCTGATATGCTTGGATATGAAATAAACAACCTGTTTGTTTACCCGAATACTGTACGTTTGTTCGTCCATTTGTTTGTTTGTTTGTTTGTTTGTTTATGAACATAATTATCAAGTATAAAAGTAAAACAAGTACAACAACAAAAAAACAAAGAAGGCACAAAATTAAACAACAATCCATCCATTTAATTCAACGATAGAGAGTCAACATTTTCATCAAATAGCTGTACTTTAGTGGGGAGATTCAGACCGGACTCAGGTTTAGACCCCTGACTGCGGGGCTGGGCGTTTGCAGTAGGAATGGGACCCATGAGGCTGTAGGACATGTCGTGCAGATGGTTCTCGCTAGGGGCGCGCTTGTACCCGGCCAGGTCCAGCATCTTCGCGCATGTGCTCTCCACCCTCTGCGCGTACGGCCAGGGCACGGCGTGCCTCCACGCATGCGCCGTGGCGGAGGAGTTGCGTGACGTGGTGTAGAGGCTCCCGTCCCGGTCCTCCTGGGTGTTGTCCAGGATCCACTGCGTTACGTGACCGGGTAGAGGCAGCCCCACGAAGTCATACAGCTGCTGCACCTGCTGCAATGGGCGCTGCGCCAGATCCTCATAACGGAACAGTCTGTAGCGTCCGGACAGCCAGGGCAGCGGCGAACGGCCAACCTGACACGGAACAACAATAGGCATTCGTGAATAATTTCATCAGGTTGGTAAGACACTGAGTAAAGAGACTCTTTTTACACAACCAAGTCTTTTATCCAGCCGACGTTTCGGTGACCGTCTGTCACCTTCCTCAGGGCAATTCTGACTGGTTCACATAGCACTGCAGCACAGGTGTCGGCTGCTACAGATTGGTTGTGTAAAAAGAGCTCTCTTTACTCAACAATAGGTATTGTTAGAAGGTCCTTGTACCGGAATAGCCGGTAGCGCCCGGACAGCCAGGGCAGCGGCGAGCGGCCCACCTGGCAGGGAAACAATTGACATTGTTACCTCTATGATGGTTAGACATCCAGGTAGAACATCACGTTATAGAAAATAAAGCAACTGGATGTAAAATTCTCTGAAGAGCCAGACGTTTCAGATATATAGCATCAGCAGATCTTTTTTGTCACTGATGAAAGGTAGCGGATGCTTTCTGAATGCTCAGAGAATTTATCCAGTGGTTTGATTTATTTTGTATTACGCAATGGGCATTGTTGGAATAGGAACTCGTCCATACCGTGATCACGCAAGGAAATCAGGGATAACGGACTTCTAAACCATCGTCTCTATTTAGGACTCCAAGCCTGTAGATCCATTTTACACAGTAAGTCCCCATCCCCATCCCCGGCTGTGCGCCTTTACACAGACTTATGGATTTGACGTTTCTACTCACCTGCAGGTTGTAGGCCTCCCGTTTATACACTTGTGCACACTAGTACTAGATTGTAGATTAGACTGACCTGCCTGTTCCCTTCAACACACTTATACTTGCGCAGTAATTTAGTGACATGCAGGTTGCAGATTTAGACTGACCTGCAGGTTATAAGCCTCCCGTTTACAGAGGAAGCCCCCACACGTAGACAGTAATTTTACATTATCCTGTAGGTTTCTACTGACCTGTAGGTTATAGGCCTCCCGTTTACAGAGGAAGTTCATCTGCTCGGCCACGGCGTCCAGCGCGCCCTTCTCGCCCCGCTTCTCGTTCACGCGAGAGTTGTAGATCCCGCGCGGGTCCCTGATCAGGTGAACCACCTTCACGTTCAGGCGAGGGTTCCTGACGAGCGGCGCCAGAGACTTGACGTCCACCAGGCGGATGGTCTTCACGGCCACGTGCCGCTTGGACCGGCAGACGTCCGACACCATGTCCCGGGACAGCTCCAGGCAACCCTGCAGCTTCGCGGAGGGGCTCCACCTGCGGCGAGGGGCGGTACTGCAGGTAAGTGTCTACTCGTCATCAGCACCACACATTACTATTGTAACAGTGGGGGGGGGGGATTTATAGGCGCTACCAACTGACCCGGCCGATGGGTCTAGACCTTTTAGCCGAATCGTTAGAGCGTCGGCATGTGGACTGGTGTCTGAGTTTGGTCGTGGGTTCGAACCCCGGCCCGGGACCAGGGGTTTCTATCTGTTTCTACTCGCTCCTACTGTTTCTTACACTGTGATAAAGTAATCTTGTAAGAAATCTTGAGCTCGAGAACGTTGAAAAAACACATTTATAGCCAGTGCATTCCGCAAAAATATACAAAAGTTACAGACTGGGTTCTTCTTGGAGCTGATATAACTAAGTAAAGATATGTGGGATTTTTCACAGGCGCTATTTTGGCTATGAACTTGTATAGAAAGGTCAGGTTATATTTGTAGTAGATAGGTTTACGATAGCAAATGGAGGACCTGTAAGTACCAGCTACCTGATAGACTTGGGGAACATGGGCTGGGAGCTGAGTGCCTTACTGGAGGTCCTGTGTGTGTGTGAGTGAGTGAGTATGTGAGTGAGTGAGTGAGTGAGTGAGTGAGTGAGTGAATGAGTATAAGAGTATGAGTGAGGGTGAGTGTGTGAGTGAGTGAGTGAGTGAGTGTGTGTGCGAGTGAGTGAGTGAGTATGTGAGTGAGTGAGTGAGTGAGTGTGTGAGTGAGTGTGTGGGTGAGTGAGTGAGTGAGTGAGTGAGTGTGAGTGGGTGAGTGAGTGAGTGACTGACTGACTGAGTGACTGACTGACTGACTGATTGACTGACTGAGTGTGAGTGAGTGAGTGAGTGAGTGAGTGAGTGAGTGAGTGTTACCTTATAGACTTGGGACACATTGGCGGAGAGCTGAGCGCCTTACTGGAGGTCCTGTGTAACCTCTCCCTGCTGGTGAAGTTGAGGAAGTACCCCAGCCCCGTGAAGTTACACGTCATCATGTCCCCCAGGGTGGGGGCGGCCTGCACCTGTGGAACCGGTCAATAGTTATTGATCATCGATTATCGGATATCAGTTATTGATCATCAGTTGTCAGTTACTGATCATTTGTTTTTGATTATCACATCGATTATGAAACAATCATTACTTATCGGTTATCGATAATTATTGATATTCGATTATTGATAATCGATCAGCTATCGGTTATTGATCATCAGTGATTGATCATCAGTTATTGATGATCGCTGTTTTTGTGGCAGCCTGATACATGTACTGATACAAATGGCAAAATATTGTGCTTGAAAAAAGCATTCAACACTAGCATCTGTTCACGATAACGGACGAAAAGTGATGGCTGTCAACCCTATAATAAAGTCAGTGCTTGTGTGGCCTCTATAACTCACTCCAATATATAAATGGTTTATTTGCAAATTGACATGAAACTAAAACAACATTGCAGCCTAATAATACAATGCATTGTACAATAGGCTGAATTACGTAGTTTTAGGGAACACACGAAATATCATTAATATTTACAAACATAGCCAAACTAAATAACAAGAATATTTTCGTTATTCACCATGGTTCACCACACTCGGCAACTCGGCAATAATCCAGGATTTATGTAATACGTACTGACCTGCAGGTTCTGGTACGAGACTCTTTGCTCCAGCGCCTTCAGCGGCTCAAACAGATAAAACACATCCGGGTTCTGATTAAACAGTTCTCCCAGGAACGAGGAGCCCGACCTCCTATTGGTGAAGATAATCACGTGGACGGGATCAGCCGGCTTTTCATTGGTCCTCTGGCTGCTGGCGTTTAATTGGTTAAGGCCAGCAGGGTTTTGATTGGTTACCTGTTTTCTGCCATTTGATTGGTTGGGTTTAGGAGGTTTTCTACCGACTGTCCTAGTCCTTCCTTTTGACAAGCCCGAAAACTCAGTCTTCCCATTGTTTTGTTGTTTCCTCGCGTTCTGTGGAACATTGTTTGGAGGTTTTCTGTTGGCCGCTACGTTGGCTGGTCCCCTAAGGTTAGGATTTGGTTTTCTACTGATAGGTTTTCCCTGTTTGGGAATATTTCCCGGATTTCTCCTAACTTGACCTGTCTGCTTGGGGGGAAATTGTCGATTTTGCTGAGGTGGATTTCTATTGGCTGGAGGGTTTCTTTTGATTGGTGAGTTTGACTTTCCTGCTCTCCTATTGGCTGCTGAGTCGGCCAATTGCTGCACTATGACTCTAGGTGGAGGCTTCTGATTGGCTGGGACCTGGTTTTGTTTTCCCGCCTGGGACAAAGTTCTGCGCTTCCGGGCGTCTGGTGCAGCAACAATAGGCGGCGCTAGGTGGCGCTCATCTAAAGCATCCTTCAGTCGCACGACCTCCGATTTCAGTTCTGTAACGATCTCCCTGGAGTAAAAGAAAACAACATTCACCAGACGTTTTTAAACTAAGGCTTCTAGACATACCTACTGATACAGACGAACGTCTAATCCAGCGTGCTTATCAGCGTCTAAGTTGGGGGAGGGGGTACAATTTCCTTGGGGGCATGCTGGCCCTGGAGCGGAGGAGCTGGCCTGTGTAGACCCTGCAAACAGCCTGGCACGCAGACTAGCCCAGGAGCCGATGGTCTGGTCTTTGTAGACCCCAGAGCCAAGGAGCTGGCTTGTGTAGACCCTGGAAACAGTCTGGCTTCCAGGCTAGCCCCGCGGTGCCCCAGGTTATTACTTAGCCCCTGCCAGGCTTATATATATGAAGGGACTGGAAATGGTGAACCTGCCAGGGGAGTTGGTCCACTGAAGAAGTAGATTTGCCAGACCCACCTGAAGAGGGAATATTATACCAGGGGAGTTAGCCGGCCAGAGAGGGTACATTTAGCGACACACGGGTGCGACAAACTGTACTCTCTAGCGGAACAACTCCTCTTGCATGCTATCTTTCTATTTGGCCAATTCTACTCTCTCCAGCCGCCTCCCGAAGCCTGGTAGAGGCTAGTGTTTATAGTGATTCTTTATTGACACAACAAAAAAGTACAGGGACTTTTGTACGGTCTTCTACAACTACAAATCTAACAAAGCTAAATGCATGTGTGGATAACGCCATCTTACGTACAGAGTATATGTATGCTGTAACAATAAAGGTCTAACTATTCTCTAACATGTGGTCTCTAAGACCGAAACATTCTTTAATGTATTTTCCTATTTGAACACTGTATTGGTTATCTTTTATATACGGACCTGAAGTACTGGACGTCCGGTCGGGGGCGGGTGTCCCCACACGGGCGGGAGGTGGTGAGGATGAGCACCGAGGTGAGCAGGAAGGACGCCCCGGTGAACACGCAGAGCAGGGACGAGGCCAGACGGTGCACGTGCATCATGGGGCATGACGGCTCAGGGGCAGTCACACCTGCAAGAGAAAGAGAAGCGAAAACGTCTTGAAATCAACGCAAGACTTTGCTGTGAATGTTTAAAAGAAAGACATGACACTCAAGGGGACCAACTGAAATATACGCAAGACTTTGCAGTAACGAACGGCTCAGGGGCGTCACACCTGCAGGGGGCGAGGAGGAAACATCTTGAGCTCAACGTAAGACTTTGCCGCGAAGGTGTAAAAAGAGGTTCAGGGGTATCACACTTGCAAGGTACGAGGGGAAAAGTTTTGAGATCAACGTAAGACTTTGGGAGTAAAAGTTTTAAGGAAGACATATGACTCAAGGGGAACCACACCTGCAATATACCACAACGGTAAACCGCCCTCCGGCATAACACACCAGCTTCAAACGTAAGACTTTGCCTAAGGGAAGGCATAACGAACAGCTCAAGGGAAAGTTACATCTGTAGAAGGACGAAGAAAAAGCGTCTTGAAATCTACGTAAGCTGTGAAAAACGTCTTAAAGCGTTCCATGCCGCGTGATGCCAGAAAAGCAGGGCAGCCAGACCACCAACTTCTGCTTGGGGCGGACCGACTATGTCAGTATGTGAACAGAACATCCTTACTGTTTCTCATTGGCATTTAGTATTCAAAGAGTGGTCCTGTCTCGCTAGTATGAATGCTACAAGACTGGCCTCTCTAAGTACTGTGGACGTTTTCAAGCACAGGATACGGCTATAGGGCCTTCATCAGCAACTGTTTGAAGCTTAGCGAGAAGGTTTAAAGGCGAGCAGAGCTGGTCTCGTTACTTTGATGGTTTAAAACTTTGTCTCTTTACGGTGAAAAACTCCAGTAAAGTGAGCCTTAATTGTGAAGGCGTTAAGGTTAGTAAAGCTGCCCTATTTGTTGTGATGGCTTTAAGACGAGTGGAGGTCGTCTCGCCACTTTGATGGTTTGAAACTTTCGAGCGTGTCGTCTCTTTAAATTTTATCGTGACATTTCCAAGACAAATTAGCCTGTTGGAACTTCCCCTTGCTGTGACGGTTCGCAGAGTTCTGTGTCTAAGTTTATATACAAGGAAAAAGAAGCGTTGGCCACACACAGATGTCTCTATACTTCATAGCAAGTGTAGCCTTCCTTACGGAAGCGACCCAGAAGAAACCGAGAACTGTATACCATCATAAAGTCTATTGAGGAGGCTTGGGACAGTTAGATAGCCTCTACCAGGCTTCGGGAGGCGGCTGGACAGAGTAGAAATCGGTCAGATAGAGAGATAACACCTCAGGGAAGTTGGTCTGCTGGAGAGAACAGTTTGCCGCTCCCGGGGTATACAGTACTACATTGTAGTATTAATTATTCCTGACAACAAACCAACCTACCCCCCTCCCCACCAATCAAATCCTTAGACCTCCCGGAGCGACTGAAAGTTCCCGGGTGATGACGACAGGTTGTCATGGTAACGCCCCAACTGTCGTGCATCACCCATGATGCCCCGGGCGGGTGTGAGATGTCTGTCAAGTCGTCTGCAGTAGGTTTATGTCAGGAAATCTTTGATTTGGGCGGCGTCTGGCCATGTGCATCAGCAGGGTGCCTGTTGGGGCGACGGGGGGAGCCCATTAAAACATGCTTTAATAGCCTGGTTACAGGACCGATTTTAGCTGCTGAATCTCTTCTGGCTAACTGGATAATGCTTTATAACTGTTGACACAGCGGAATGTTACACAGAAAGACACTAATAGAGAGTGTTTCTCTTTGAAGGTAGACAAATTCTTTCATAGATTGTTTGAGATTTAAAGCTTGTAGCCTCCGTAGCGCCTTTTCGTCTGGTATATCACCTCTACTTGTACTCGTGTTCAATATCTGGGCCGGCAGAAGAATCCACAGATAGGCAAAAGGCGCATTGTATTACCCCCACCCCCCACCACACACACACATACACAAATCCAGTTCAATTAGGTGGTAAGGAGGCTCGTAGCTCTCCGTGAAGAATGGGGAAAGGGAACTCACTTGCTAATCCAGTACAGAACTTCTACATTGAACCTTACACATTGGTGACATTGGTTTCCCAAGCACACCTGGGAAGGCGAATATTTTTACCGTTTTTTTTCGTCTGCACGCTGGAGTAAAAAAAAAAGAAATTAGTGTTCTATATTTGCACCTTGCGCGACGTTTCAGCACGTGTAACAGACTGGACCCGTGAACTCGGTAAAAAGACGGCGACTTTGAGGGTAAGAAGAGAACAGGTGTTGTTGGTTATGACATGTAGGGAGAGCAGACGGCTTTCTGTAAGCATCAAAGCTGTCAGGACGCCGAGGCATGCGGCTCTGCATTCCCCACATTACACACAAACAGGGAGCAAACTCGGCAGAACCAGCTTGTCTCGTGAGGTGACGTGAATCGTTTCTAAAAACAGGTGACCTTGAAGGACCGTCTCTGCAGCTGAGCACACTGTGGTTCAAGGTCAGCCGTGGGAACGGTGCCCGAAGTTTGGCGTTGCTACTGAGACAGTACACTGCTCTTTTCCGGCCGGTACAATGGGCATTGGACCACGACTTACAACAAACCAACAGCTAGCCTGGTTACAATTCTTCACGGGCCGGCTAAGGGGTTTTACCGGCTCTAGTCAGACTAAGGACTAAGCAGCGTAGGCCTCTCTTGACATGCTAGATCATTCCAGCCAGCTTTTCTTATTATTGTCTGTGAACTCAGAATTATTGAAACCGACCCCTTAAAATCCTGGCTTGTGCTAATGTACTCTTCAGGCAGAAATCTAGGCTTTGGTTTGTTTTGGACGTGTATTACTAGCCTCTACCAGGCTTCGGGACGCGGCTGGAAAGAGTAGAAATCGGCCGAATAGAGAGATAAGCATGCCGAGGGAGTTTGGTCGGCTGGAGAGAACAGTTCCCGAAGGGCATACTATCTCTCTATTTGGCCGATTTCTGCTCTTTCCAGCCGCCTTCCGAAGCCTGGTGGAGGCTAGTGTATTACGCGTTTTAACGGGCTTTCTTTCTTTTACATGGTGTCTTTTTGTTCGCCAGCCAAAGTCTACTTTCTTGCAGCCACTCCAATTTCAAAGATCTGCTGGAGATTAGCACCAATGCAGCTGAGCGTACAGGCAGTACTCCCAGCACAGTAGAGAAGCGAGGGAGCCTGCGATGGTCTGGCTGCTAGGCTAACAACATCCAGGGCTCTCCCCAAGCATGGAGTTAAAATCAAATGTATTGATTGAACCTCCTTGCCCCAAGCAATGAAGCAAGGGTGCTCCACCTCTCCCCAAAATTCCTTAGTATTTTCCCGTAATATTTTCATTAAAATTTGCTGATTTTTCACCAATGGATTAGGGAGCACCTCTCCCTAAGAATTTCTGGACTCTCGGAGAGTAGACCGTACTCTCGACCTCATGGTTTAGATACAGGATCCCTAACCACTAGACCGACAACGCCGCATACCCACTTATGTTAACAATTTACCACCTGACACATTCTCTGCTGCACCCCTCTTACACTGTTTGTGAGTCCATCAGATTCTATCTATCTAAAACATACAGTAGATTAACTTAAATCAACATGTAAATATACACAGTTGAGTACGTGGGAAACAGAACCAGGCAGCCAGGCCGGACTACTGTGTGTTTGTACGTGTGAGATAATTATACACACATGGAAAAAAATGGGACATAAATCTTTATCTAAAGTACATGCTATCCTTTCGGCAGTACTTAAAGTGGCTAGGGATGGGCGGCTGAAAGACAAGTCAACAAGAATTGCAAGATGTTTGATTCATAAAATGAAGAAACGCCATTATATTCTACTTTCAAATCAGTGAAGATGAGCAGTGTCACAATCACGCAACATGTCGTGAACATTTACCTTACTATGTTCCTTCCTCCATGAAAAAACAGAATGTGTATTCCCCATAAAGAAAATGCACATTGTGAGTGACCATCATTTGCTAGAAAAGTTGACTGACCGTAGGCCGGGTTCGTTGAACAATCCTATGACTGGGGCTAACTACTAGTCAAAGTACCCTCCATACATGGCCAAATTATATTGCCTTTTTTCAGTGCGAAACTGGAGTCTGTTAGAGAATAAAGTAGCTGTGACTAAAGCACTGCCTGTGGGCATGACATTCCTCACACTCTCCAGCCAAGTAAAAGGGAATTCCCATAAGGAACACATCATGACAAGACGGAGAACAAGACGTTTCCAAACATCTGGCCGTGTGACAAGGCGGGGCCTTGGGTTAGCAAATACATGTCCGTATTTCTCACAATGCAAAAATAGGTAAATATACAAAAGACTGCTTTGTTATTAGATAAAATACCGAAAGTGTTGATTAGCCACCGTTTGATATCAAAGAGATATTATGCTAGCCCTTTTTATTTTGATAGTTGGGATGTTAAATTTTGTAACCTCTTTATCCTCAGTGCCAAATGATGTTTATTTTTTCAAACATATTTATGTAAGGAAAAAAATCCTATGTTCTGGTATTTTTCACTCAGAAAAGGTTACCATATGATGATCTTTCACCCCAGCATCTACTTGAAGGTTGTGACAGCCGCTCTGACCTGGGGGAAGCCTGATATATTTATGAGGAAATCGGGATCTCCAAAGTCTGTCATCCGTGACCCCTCCCAGGTCATCTCCCACAGACAAGTTCAAGCCTCAAGGTCAAAAGTCGTGACCTTGTCGGCAGCAATCAACCAACATGGCCGCCGTGAGACATGGTGATTAAGGTTTGTGAAGCAGGGCTAAAATGGACTGGGGGCGAATTAAGGAGGGGTTTTGGGTCACGAAAATAGAAGAAGAAAAACCAAGCAACTATTAAAGATTATGGTAGCCTCTACCAGGCTTCGGGAGCGGCTGGAAAGAGTAGAAAACGGCCAAATAGATAGATAGCATGCCAGGGGAGTTGGTCTGCTGGAGAGTACACTTTGCCGCACCTGAACTATTCTCTCAGCAGACTAACTCCCCTGGAATGCTATCTCTCTATATTTGGCCGATTTCTACTCTTTCCAAACACTTCCGAAGCCTGGT